ACCTCCACGTCATGCTCATCTACAAAGGCAGGCTCTCAGAAACCACCTGGCACTGCAAGACCATATCCCTCTATCCTGTTTAGATTCCCTGGAAAAGTGATCCATTTAGGCTAATTTCTTCCCATTAGGAATTTGATTGGCATTCAGAAAACAGCTGGTCAGTCTCTATTACTTGTAAACTCAGGTGCTAGAGGGGAGCTGGAGGAAGTGGCAGAAACCCAACTGGCAGTAAGAATAAAGCACTGATGCAGGCAGAGGTAGAGAATCATTGGGATCCTAAGAGCTTTTCAGGTTCTCTGTAGGGTCTAGAAGCAGATCTATAGTTAGGCTTACCAAGACTTCCCTGCACTCTTAGGACCAACTTTCCTTTCTATCTGAAGCTAATTTGAAGTAGAAATTGTCATTGCATCTGAGTCATGGCAGGAAGGAATCAGTGGACTATTATTAATGGATTGAGATATAAAATGAGAAGAGTCAATATAGCTTGAAAAGAGTACCAAGGTAAAACTGATTAAGATGTCATCCTCCAATATTTCTCTGCCCATGACATCCCACAGGATTTCCAGAACCACTTTATCCCCAGGATCACTTGCAAGGCATACCCAACAGTGTCGGGTAAGATACATGTGTGCAGAACATGAGCACTGGAGGGTACGGTAAAGTCATATAGCTTTGCAAAATAAGGCAGATGACCAAGTTGGTTAGCACCATGACACCTAAGGACATACTATGTTTAATGAAGAAAAAAATCCAAAAAGGCTTAGAGGGGGTACAAAGACAGTCAACAGTTACTGCTAAGAACAGGCCAGAAGCAGAGTAGATGCTCAATCAACAGTAAGACATATCAATTTTGTAAATAAGTAGAAAAAGCATTGTTTGCAAGCCCTCCATACTTCTTCCACACATGATGAACTCTTTGAGGGCAAGTCTATAACTGTACCACCAGTTCCTAGTACAGGGACTGGCATGCAGTAGGCAATGAATGAATGATGAATGAGCAAATGGAAGAATTAAGCAGCATTTTACAAAAATACATCCTACAATTCCTTCTATTAAACTTTCAAGTTAGATGTTTCAGATTTTAGGAAGGCAATAATTATGCATATTATATGACACTCCCCATGGAATCTAGAACAGTACCTCATAATCAAACACTTTACAATGAAATGGAAATAGCCACACTATCTGAAATAAATTAGGTCTATAAAATGGTCTCACATCAATTCGGGTCAGGTTTATCATCACTAATCTTGCCATAAAACAATCTTCTGGATTTCATAATAGTACAGATCCAGTTTTGCTAAAGTTAGTGATTTGCTAAATCCTAGAAGGAATGGAGCTCATAGTGTGCAAGAGGAAGCAGATTTGTAACCAGCTTAATCAATGGGATAAGGCAAAAAAAAAGAACAAGCATTGAAAAGACACTGAAATCTACCCAGGAATATGCAGGAAGGCTAAATAAGTCATTCTGAAGAATGGGAAATTTGCCAAAATGACAGAAACTCAAGTAAAGGGAACATATTACACAATGGTGTGAAAGAGCGATTCATGTATCATGTCACCTGCTGTAATTTCAAGGTAAGTATTAAGTACCTTCATATTTGTCTGCATTAACTTCAGGGTCAAATTATAAACTTCAAGCTTTCAATAAATCAGATGGAAGAACTCCACTTTACAGCAAGAGTTGTTATGTTTCCTTCATACAAGAGAATACCACAGGAGAAGTCCACAACAGTGTTTCTCCAAGTGCAGTTTCCTAATTAGCAGTACTAGCACCACCTGGACACTTGTTAGAAATGCAAATTCTTAGCCCCACCCCAGACTTAATCAGTAGTTTAGTAGGAGACAGGATCAGTAACCTCTGACCTAATAAGCTCTTCAAGTGATTCTCATGTGTGCTGAAGTTTGAAGACCTCTCATCTAGAATAAACCTTTTTCAGTGTGATTTTCAGACAGTCTGCTTAGACTTTATCAAAAACTGTATCACTTGAGGGGCTGGTGTTGTGGCTCAGTGGTAGAGCACTTGCCTAGCATGTGTAGGCACTGGGTTTGATTCCGAGCACCACATTAAAAAATAAAATAAATGAATAAAAAGTTATACATATTAAAAAAACTATATCACTTGGGAACTAGGCCAGACTCTGCATATCTACTAAACAATCCATGTGATTCTGGTGGCCTCTTTCTGAATGTCATTACATAAGATTACAAATTCTCTGAAGACAGTTCGTTCCTAAGAGATGTGCTGTAACACTCAGTAAATGTTCTTGATTAGTTAGGTTCACATCAGTTTGCATATTTTTTTTTAATATTTATTTTTTAGTTGGACACAATATTTTTATTTATTTATTTTTATGTGGTGCTGAGGATTGAACCCAGGGCCTCACACGTGCTAGGCAAGTGCTCTACCATTAAGCCACAATCCCAGCCCTCAGTTTGCCAGGGCTGCTTAGGAGCCTGACTGAGAACTATGGGAGTACATGTTCATCCTACTCCCTTTCTTGCTCCTCAAAACAATACAGAATTTGCTTACTTAAAAACAGTGGTCAGCAAGTTGCTAAGAATAGTTAGATTGTTAGCTATTTGGTTTTAAAGAAAGATGACTATGGGTTGGGAAAGCATGAGAGGAAGTTGAGCGTCTTAGTACCTCAGCTACCCAGAGGTGAAGTTCAGACTAATTTAAGTAAGGTTGACAGGCACAACTGTTAGCCTGGGGGAATATGATCCCTTTAGAAACAAAATTTTGGCAAGAAAAGAAACCTCTTTTAAGCGATGGCTTTCAGCACCTGCACCCTTCGTTTAGCTCTGGAAGAAAGACAGCCAAGACAACAAGGAGAGACTGTTAGAATTTAGGCTCCTAAGAGCTATCACTAAACACAGATCACCCACAGTATTAGTCTGGTTAAGAGCTAAAACAGATTGCTCAAAAAGTCAGGTTTTATAAGCAACAATTCTAAGATTAAATTGCATTGGTTAAGGAAACACACACACACAAGAAATTAAATAACTGACCTTGTAGACAAAAATATTTCAATTAATAGTCCCATTTTTAAAAAACGGTCATTTTATTTTTCTATCCAATTCAATATCAATGATATACAAAAGGATACAAACAGATTATCATAAATATTTATAGGAAGATTTGCAAAACAATTACCAAGAAAAAAAATCCAGCAAAGTAAAAAATTTGTTGATTATCCATGTCCACTCAACTGTATAAGGTTATTCCAGGACATTTTCCCAGTTCTCTGAGAAAGAAGTTTTGTGGCTTTACACCTTCCATGAGGGTCAAGACATAAGAGCTGATACAACTGTGTTTTGTACTGACAGCCAGAGGAAGGCTGCCCCCCACCACCCCCTCATACTAGGGATGGAACCCAGGGCTCTGTGCATACTGGACAAGTTCTCTACTACTGAGCTACATGTACAGCCTTTTAAAAATCTTTAATTTTTGAAACAGGGTCTGGCTAAGTTGCCCAAGCTGACCTCAAACTTATATTCCCCCTGCCTCAACCTCCAAAGTAGCTGGATTATAGTCAGGCGCCACGGTGCCAGGCTCCACAATTCTTCAATGGAAGCAGAAGAGGCCTTGTCGCCCAAAATGCTTCAGTCAGGGGCAGTCAGGGAATATAAAAAGCTTATGGCTCTGATACATGGAAGACAAGAGTTCTCAGTTAACCTAGCCACAATTTTCTGGTCATGTATAAGAAACATTTGAAATTTAACTTTCACATTCAAAAAAAGAGGTCAACTCAACCTCAGACACAAAGAGAGAAAAGAAAAAAAGAAAAACAAAACCTAACAATAGTCTATACCCAAACATTGACAATTGGGGAACTGTCTCATAAAGACACTTTGGAGGCCAGCAGGATTCATTTATAATTTGGCATGTGTTTGTTAAAGGGGGCCATGGGGCCTGGAGCTAAAATAGTCTATTGTAAAGATATAATACATCATTGAAGCAAACAAATGGTACACATATATACACCACATTAAAGATTCATATACAATTCTGTGCTGACTCTAAAGGAAAAAATTGAGGAGAAATTAGAGGGGAAAAGATAATAGAAAGAGAATCACAAAGGAGCATTTTAGTCCGAAGCTAGTCCAATGAGTTACTAGGACTTCTAATCTTTCATCCCCAAAGAAGTTGATCTAATAAATTATAAAATTACCTCACTCACACTTGGGACATACTACATATTCCCAAGTACAGTAATCCTGCTCTCGTTTTGGTTTCACTTGCTATTTGATGACTAAGTTGTTTCTCACTTTAAAGATTTTCCTATTATATTTTAATTAGCCAATTAACACAGCAGAAGCCACTCCCTCCGTGAGGCCAGACAAGCTTTACAAAATAATTTGATCTAATGAAGATGAATGATGGGGAAGAAAGGGAAAGCTTCTTGGTTTTTCTTGCAAAACCTTTTCTCTCACTTGAAAAACTCTGCAATCACTTAATGTTCTGTTCCAGATAAAGAAAGCAAAACTAGTTGGGAAAATACCCATACACTTATTGTTTACTAGCATAATACAAAATAAATTCATACATGTTGGTCAATTGTTTTTCAAACTCCAAATGTGAATGTTTAATCTTGTAACTTAAGAACTGAATTTTTCCACATTCTTTTATATAGAGTTAGCATCTGTAAATTGAGACTTTTTTTAGACAATCATGCAAATTTAATTTGTCCCTGGAAACAAAAACACAACCTAACAGATTAACAAAATATGTCCTTTAGACAATATTTTTTTCTGTGAACTTTCCTCCACTGTTACCATTTTTATCCTTCAGTAAACAGAAACTACACTAAAAAGTTCCTGTATTTTGAATTTACAGAGAGCTAGACTCTTCAGAATAATTACAAAGACTATATCAAGGCAACCTATTTTAATTTCTGGACTGGCTCCACTCTTTTCAAAAGTAAATTCTAAAAAAATTTTGAGTTATTATTATTAAGTAATATGAGCTAGAGACATTTCTACTGCCATCGATGCTCCTATAAAATTGAATAAAGATTTTATTATACCACACACACAAAAAGCAATCGGTACAGAAGAGGCAGTTTTCGTTTTTCTGTTGAGAATTTCTTTCCATGATTTCTCCCATTAAAGTATAGTTTTCAAAGCAACCACCACGACAAAGGAAGCATCTAATTAGTCCATTTTCTTCTGATCCAAGAATGCTGAACATTTACTGTCCCATCTGTAGTTGTATCAGCAGTGTAATGAACACAGTTTATATTACTTAACTATTCTTTGAACTCCAAGAACTGTTGAAGTCTTTTCTGATGTTCTGCAGATGCTTGCACAGCACTAAATGAAACATAAATTCAAAGCATAAGCTTTATTTTACATTAAGCATATTAAGTGAACCACAGAGCACAGAGTCAATATTTTTCAAAACAATTAAAAATGAATAGAAATCTTCACTTATTTAGTACTTCTGAAAAAGTTGCATGGAAACCTTTTTTAATCTAATGAAGAAGAGGACTTGCATTCAGTAATGGTATGCTTCTACCTTCTAAGAGACCAGAGCAAATCAAAACTGACAAGTGAAGGCATCGATTTGAACCTGCTCTGCTGTGGAACCTGCTGTGCAGAGTTCCAGGCCTTGCAGTAGATTTTCTGGATTTTATTATTTTATTTAAACCAGATTCCAACATTATCTTTGAGTTGTAGAGTATTTGAATTGCCTTTAATATAAAATCCTTTAAACTAAAATGTTTGGTTAAAACACAATAGACTCCATTAATTGCTTTCAAAGGTAATGGCTTGGTGGTTTAGATTTACTTTTCCCTTTGAACATAAGTTATGTTTGGATGGGGACGCTGGGTTCTTGCTGTACCCTCACCACCACAAAAATACATTACCTTGACAAAACTAGGGCAAATACACACTGAAACTTGTGTAAAACTTCCTTTTAAACTTTTGGAGAAAAATTGAATATAACAGAAAAGATTCTGGTTTTCCAGTTCTTGAATAGTAATATAACATTGCTGAAGATAAAATTTCAGATAACTAAGGTTACCACTTTTTAAAATACTTAAAGTCTTATTTTAATAATTTTGCTACAAACCATCCTAAAATGCCCCTTTCACATCTGTTTTCTTAAGCCAATATATTCACCTCTGATGAAACCATTTCAAGTACCTCACTGTGCAAAGATGCATGCCCTCTAGGTATATGCCAGTGAAGCTGTCATCTCTAACTAAATGGCTCTGCACTCAACACCAGTCTGTGGCTTTTCCTATCACTCTTCTCTCAGCTAGAAGGTAGTGAACTCTCCTTTATGAACTTTCAGTAGTCTTAACTCCATCATCAATTCTACCCCTCAAGTAAATTTTGATACATTACAGGCTGGAAGTAAATAAAATTTGCCTAAAGTGAGGGTAAATGGGGCCAGGCGTGAAGCAGGAGGATCTTGAAGGATCCTGGGAGGCTGAAGCAGGAGGATCTTGAATTCAAAGCCAGCCTCAGCAACAGCGAGGCACTAAGCAACTCAGTGACACCTTGTCTCTAAATAAAATACAAAATAGGGCTGGGGGTGTGGCTCAGTGGTTGAGTGCCCTGGGTTCAATCTCCAATACCAAAAAAATAAATAAATAAATGGCGAGTAGGGTAGGTCAAAGGATACAAAGTAATAGATATGTAGAATAAACAAGTCTACTGATAAAATGTAAAACATAAGGACTATAGTTAATAAAAAACTATCAGGAATTTTTGTTAAAGTAGATTTTAGCTACTCTTGTCAAGCATACAAAAAAACTATATGAGATGATAACTATATTAATTTGCTTCACTGTAGGAATCATTTTACTCTTTTGCATATCCATAACATCATGTTATAAACCTCAAATATACCCAATAAAATTTAGTGAAAACAAAACAAAAAATGGGCAAACTGGTGCTGAATGAACGTCTCCAATGAGTAACTGGTCTAGGATAATTCCAGGGCTCAAGAGCTTATTTACACCTGGTTCTCAGAGGGGGAGCTTTAGGTTGTGAATAATTAGCTATTATACTAATAGTTGTTGTCACAATATATAATGTACAGTGGACTTCTGTCTAGCACCTGTGATCTCATTTTATCTGTGTCAACACCAAATGAAGTAAAGTGAGAGCTTAGGTAGTATCAGAAAGGTTCAGAGCTTAGGAGAGAAAATACAGCCTAGGAGCACAGACATTGTAGACAGAACTCAAGGATTAGCAAGATTATGGTCTAAATTCTAGTTTTGCAACCTACTATCTGTATAATCTTGGGCAAATCATTTTACCTCATTAGGTAACCACAATCACAGGATAGTCAATGATGCAGCAGATACAAATCCAGATGTTTTAACTCTAGATGTAATATTCCTTCCTCCACACAATTCTGTCCTATATTTGTAAAAACTAAACTCTACTCATCAGTTTTAGTGCATATTTAAAATATGGCTCATCTCTAAGAAACCAAGATAGAATTTCATTCTCATAATTTTTCATCAGTTATCTACCCCTCTTTCTTATCTAAGAAGTCTCCTTTTCTCCCTGATTTTGCACTATCATCATTATACATCATATCTATTTCCTTCTCTGAATTCAATGTTGAGTAGATTCTGATTGTATATCTATGTGCTAGTTTATACCATGGAGGTAAACCAGTGTTTACAGATAGAGAAAGGCAGATTTTTAAAAGTAAAAGATCTGCTTTCAGGGGGTTGGGGTTGTGGCTCAGCGGCAGAGCACTCGCCTAGCACATGCGAGACCCTGGGTTTGCTCCTCAGCACCACATACAAATAAATAAAATAAAGGTATTGTGTCCAACTACAACTAAAAAATAAATATTAAAAAAAAAAGATCTGATTTCAGATTCATGTTCAAACATGCATAGACTGTGCTATCAGAGAAATTTTAATTTCTCTTTGCCTCAGTTTCCACATCTGTACAACTAGGATAATTTCTGTGCCTCACAACATCTTTAAGAAGATATAAATGAAAAATTGCAATACATGGCACAGGTGCAGAAGCTGCTCAATAGATTATTGTTTGTTTCTAAATAAGTTAGTAAATGTCTTAATGACAGAGAATGATCCACAGCTCTTTTATATTCCCAGACAGAAGCAAAGTGTCCCATAAATACCTGCCACTACTTCTGCCTAGTATTAAGAAAGTAAAAGGGAATGTACTCCTTGTTTCTAAACACAGGCAGTATGAGGAAGTCCTAAACTATGTAAAAACAGAGCAATCTCTTATGCCCTCTACAATTTAATCATGATTTAGTTGATAAACTAGTACCCCTCATCATGCCTCGCTAGATTGTTTCATAAGAGCAACGCAGTAAACATCAATGAAACTAAATATAAACAGGTCTGGCATTGTGGTTCTCGTTTCTGAAGGTGTTGTGATCTGTCAGTGTTTTACCAGCGTGACTCACAAAGCACCACAGACACATTTATGGAATGTTCTGCTCGGCCCAGTTCTTAGCTTCCTGGCCAAAATGTAGAATTATTTTTAATATGCTTTTCTGGAAAGGTCCTCAGTTTTTTGTCTTATTTCTCCCTTGAGGATCTTTTGGCAAACACACACACACACACACACATATTTTTATATACACATATATTTTTTTTTAGTTGTTCATGAATCTTTTATTTATATGCGGTGCTGAGGTTTGAACTCAGGGCCTCACACATGCCAGACAAGCACTCTACCACTAAGCCACTACTCCAGCCCTATATATTATAGTTATTTACATTTATTTATATATAAATATATATATTTACATACAATATATATACTTACAGTTACTATTTCTATAACTTTCTGTCTTCTCTTTTGTCATTTGAAAAAAATCCCCAAAGCTATGATAGGCCAAATTCTTTTCTAGGAGGGGACTGAACCCAAGGGTGCTTACCCACTGAACCACATCCCCAACCTTATTTTTTTTTAAGTTTGAAACAGGGTTTTGCTAAGTTGCTTAGGGCCTCACTAAGTTGCTGAGGCTGGTTTTGAACTTGCAATCCTCCTACCTCAGCCTTCCAAACAGCTGGAATTACAGTATGTGCCACCATGCTCAGCAACAGGTAAAATTTTTTAAGTCTAACTCCAAGGTATTAATTCACAGGGAGAACCATTAAGGCACCAAAAGAATACTTCAAATATGTGAGTATTTGTAATTCTCATACCTATTCCTCAGAGGAACTCCTAAAAGCAAACTGTTTCCATGGGTCAAAACAGATAAACTTACTTCAGATGTTCACCAAATGTAGTAGTTATTCGATAGATGGCAGTTTTCAGTGATGCTCTGAATGCAAATCTTAATGTTTTATAAGAAGTGTCCACAAGGCTTCCTGAAATCCGGGGTGGTTTACTGGATGCATGAGGAAGCTTGAAGTACTTGTCAACTGCCTAGACGAAAAATGAAAGAAAGAAAACACATTAGTTGAGCTTATCTAGAAAGTCAATCTAGCCTAACAAATAATGAGATTTTATTTTAGATATATATTCAGATCCACAGACATGTGTTTTTAGTGTGAAACAGTAACAACAGCTTGAAAAGCAATGCAGTGAAGAGAAGACTCAGCAACTCCAGCAGTTACCAGGCCCAGCAGAAGTCCAGACCTGCCCTATCAAGGGGAGCTGGAATTCAAGAGACTTAAAACTGCGAAGCTGGGAAGTGAAAATCTGATATTCTACTCTGTTAATGGTGGATGACAGGCAAGAGTACCTTTACTATGGGTCTTAGGGAAAAATGATTTTAAAAATCCTAAACTTTAAATTTTACATAAAGTTATTTGCTAAACTGGTCTATCTCCATTTTCAATTCTAGATAAGGCATCCATGAGTAAAAACAGATTGGATAAGAGTGACAAGTCATAAGTGAAACTGATTTTACTTACAGTTTTAGAGTAAGAAATAATTAAAAATATCTTTAAATGCCAAAGGCAAATGATGTAATTTTTTAATGATATAGCTACACTAAAAGAAGGGAGAAGATGAAATACAAATGTGTTAATCTATTATTACAAGATAATGTTTAAAATGACATGAGGTAACAGTATAAGCATATTATTTACAGTTATAGAGCAACTGCCAAAACAATGGAAAACAAAAATTATTAATATTACTTCTGCCTTAAAGTATCCTATCTAGAAGGCCTGGCCCACAGCGTTCAGGGAGAATTCAACCCTATGTTTGTAAGTCCCGAAGCTGTCAGGATTCTCTTAGTCCACAGACCTGGTATTCTGCTCTCTAGAGGATAAACCACAGCCTGGAGACGAGGAGGAGCAAAGAGCAGCAGAGGATGATCTAATGGTTTTCAACCCTTTCACCCAAACTTCCTCATGTTGGTCCTGACCTTTCACCCTTGGTTCCAGAGGCACCCTGAAGTTTTTCCACTGCCAACTTGGGATTTGCCTCTGGAATCTGCTGGTGAGCCTTCTCAGCCACCTGCCTTCCAGCCTCACAGACTCTGTTGCTTGTTGCTTCCTCTCCTTTTTATGGATTTATATTTTTAATTTATTTTTTTAGTTGTCAGTGGATGTTTATTTTATTTATTTATATGCGGTGCTGAGAATTGAACCCAGTGCCTCACACATGCAAGAGGCAAGCACTCAGATGGGCTTGTGTGGTTCAGTGGTAGAGCGCTAGCCTACCATATGCAAGGCCCTAGGTTCCATCCTCAGCACCACATAAAAATAAATAAATAAAATAAAGGTATTGTGTCCATCTACAACTATTAAAAAAAAAAAAAGAGATAAGCACTCTACCACTGAGCCACAACCCCAGCCCCATGGATTTGTATATTTTAATATCCTTTACCATAGTTTGGTAAAATTTTGGGGAAGAAGCAAACTTCTTTCACATTAAGAGCATTTCCAAGATTGGGACATACTTGAGATAACTTTAGGTAGTATAAGAAGTGATATTCAGAGAGATACTTAAGCAGTTTAAATAACACAATAACACTGAATCATAATGGAAAACTTTTCTTTTCAACTTTTTTTTTTTTTTTTTGCAGTGCCAGGGATGGAACCCAGGGCCTCCCACATGCTAGGTAAGAGTTCTACCACCTAGCTATACCCACAGCCCACTATACACCTTTCTCAGCATACCAGGAAAAATGGTGATCATCATTTCCCACCTGGGTCCAACAGACCCTTTTGAATTTTTACAGTCTAAAAAGTTATTTAGTCCTGGGTTTGATTCCTAGCACCACAAGGTTTTGTTTTGTTTTGTTTTTTAATTTTAAAAAGCACTTTCAGAAGTAAAAACAACAGGATAATGTAAGATAACTTTATAGAAATACATATAAGAATATAAGCATAGCAAACACAAATTTTTATTCCATATTTTCCAGGTTTTGAAGATATACACAGCTGAAAAGGCAATGCCCATCAACTGTCATACATAAGCCCAAACACATCCATTTTATAAATATTGATTTCAAACTGAAGATACATTTCTAACAGGTTTTAGTTCATCAAACTTCTACTTCTTTTTCTTGCATTTGCATCTTCAAAATGCAGTATTTTTGAAAATTTTTGACAGCTCAGAAATTTTTTGAATAGCGCATAGCCATTTCCTTTGTGCTACAACTGCAAAACGTTTTCATTCTTAGGTTTATAAATACAAATTCAAATGATGGCTCCAGTGACTTCTTTTACTTCAACTCTCTTTTCTTCTTATTATTGATATGCACATACCTTCCTCCAACATTTATTCCCCATCAACTGTAAATTTTGGTGCACAAGCATCACAAAAGATGAATACTATCATGTGTCTCAGCAGAATAAATGATTCAAGTTATTATCACAAAATATTGTGGAATAAAATTCTTCCTCTTGAAAGACTTAGTACATAAGAATATCACATATATTTCCCCTTTCTCCTTAGAAATATTTCTGCCATCACTTCTTGAGTTTGAAAAAAAATAAATCTAGAATATCATCATCTGAAGGTCTCACAGAGTGAAAATTCTATATGATCAATTTCACTACCATCATTAAAGTCTAGAGATGTGCTGTCCAATTCAATAACTATTAGCTACATGTAGCTATTGAGCACTTGAAATATGAGAGGTCTGAACGGACATGATATAAAGCAAAAAATATACAACAGATTTCTAAGATTTAGTGTGAAAAATAATATACAATATCACATTATTAATTTTATATTGCTTATACGATAAAATTACATTTTAGATCTACTGGGTTAAATGTTACCAAAATGAATTCCACCTGTACTTTTTAATGTAACTATTAGAAGATGTAAATTTATCCAAGTGGCTACATTATATTACTTTAGAAGAGAGCTGGTCTACAGAAGTCTCTTTGTACTTGTCTTCTGATTTGTCTAATTATTTTAATGTATTGGCAATTTTCTTTCCTTTACCATTGCAGGCAAAAAATTAAAAAATAAAAATCTGAATTATCAACTATATTCAACAAAAGCTTCAAAAGCTTAAAAAAAAACCCTCCTCCAGTGTTGGTTATTGAACCCAGAGCCTTGTACATTCTAGAGAGAGCTATATCCCCAGGCCCTCAGATTTCTTTCTTTCTTTTTTTTTAATATTTATTTTTTACTTATAGGTGGACACAATATCTTTATTTTATTTTTATGTGGTGCTGAGGATCGAACCCAGTGCCCCACACAGCAAGCACTCTACCACTGAGCCACAACCCCAGCACCCCCTAGATTTCTTATATAGGTTTTCTTTTAAAAACCCATGTAGGGGGTTGGGGATTTAGCTTAGTGGCAGAGTACTTGCCTAGCACATGCAAGGCCCTGGGTTCCATCTTCAGCCCTTGGGGGGGGGGGGGGGACTAAAAACCCATGTAATACTACATGATTTCATCATTTTTGTTTTATTAATCCTTCACCACTATTAAGAATAACTGATAAATAATAATAAAATAATTCCTATGACAATTAAATAGCAAACTGTTTCAAGATATGAAAAATGTAAAATTACTAAGATCTCATAATACATCTATCTTAGATTTAATAAGGGCCCAATGGACCTCCCCCTATTAGTAAATGTGAGAGAATTTTTTGGGGGGAGAGGTACTGGGGATTGAACTCAAGGGCACTCGACCACCGAGCCACATCCCCAACCCTATTTTGTATTTTATTTAGAGACAAGGTCTCACTGAATTGCTGAGTGCCTCGCTTTTGCTGAGGCTGGCTTTGAACTCCCAATCCTTATATCTCAGCCTCCCAGGCTGCTGGGATTACAGGCATGAACCTCCATGCCCAGTGAGAGAATTCATTTGACTGAAATTTTTATAAGTTATTTTTCTTTTTTGTTTGAAAGAACTTTAGTAAAGAATAAACCCCCCAAAAAATCAATCTTTACAAAACTGCACAAAATAAATTAGGTTCAACAAACTCTAATGGTAGAAAAGTTAAATGGAGGAGGCAAGCTAACTATCAGTTTGGTGCTAACTGTCCTTAACACCTCTCTGATCCTCACTAATCTCCTTCAGCAAAAAACGTAGACATCTAGAATTTAGAATTATTGACCTTTCTCACTTTAGCTGCTCTACCTTCAATTCTGAAATCCAAAAAGACCTGAAAACAAACAAATGTTTGTTACTCCTTTGGTCATAGAAATTGGACTGACCTGAACTCATCTGGCAGTAAAACCCGACCTTAGTTGACCCAGACTATTTAGTCTTTATCCCTCTCAATATTTTCAGCTATTTTACTGGAGAAATGCATCTGTTTATATGATTAAGGGAATTTTACCTTAGAGTAATATACTATGTTACATTAAAAAAGTCTTAATGTTGAAAAATATGATAGGGTTTTTAAAAAAGGGACTAAGGACCTGTGTTCTATCTGTAGCAAAGCAAACTGTTTTCCTTTTACAATAGTGATAAGTTAATTTATGTTAAAAATGAATTATTTACTTTAATTTTGGTATTAGGGATTAACCCCAAGAGTGCTTCACCACTGAGCTACATCTCTAATTCACTTTTTTTTTTTTTTTGGGTGGCTAAGTTGCTCAGGTTGGCCTTGAACTTACCATCCTCATGTCTCAGCATCCAGAGTCACTGGGATTACAGGCATGTAAACCATGCCCAACAAAAATGAATGATTAAAAACATTAAGTAAACAAAAGGCCGGGAAAATAAAACATGATTAACATTATGACAAGGTATGTGGTAAGAAATAGTTAAGGCCAAATTTATGAAGGCAATATATGAATATCTCAAATGTAGGAAGCAATGGCTTATAATATTCAATTTAAAATTCCAAAATCTTATACTTTGGCTCTTCTAAAGCCTAAAGAGGGGCTGCTATTAAAAAACTGGCACGTTTTTGCCCACTTATATCTACATGCAGTAGTACATGAACAAAAGCCAAAATAAAAAGAAAACTCTGCTCTCCTCTGAATATTCATC